AGGCTATTTCTAAAAAAAAAAATGGGTCCATTCCGACTTTGCTATAACAATCTGGCGCTTCTGAATCAGTGACTGTAAGTATGTTTTGTTATTAGTTTAAGTATTTGCTATTGACTGTTCAAGTGCGGAGTTTTGCGCAGCACAGAGTAACGCTTTGTGTGTGTGTGAGGGGAACAGGGTCACATCACAGGAGAGTGAGCTGTCTGTCAGAAATCATAGCACGTCAGCTGTCTTAACCGCGGCTTGTGTACTGCATCATCACTGCGTCTGTCACGCGACTCTGTTGCCCTTTCGGGCTTGAACTGATGGTAAAACTAACAACATTATTAACTGTCTTGATATTTACTTTGAAAGATGAAGCTCGCGATTATGGTAAGGGGCGTTACATTTCCGACGAGTGCTTGCGGTGTTCGGCCAATCACAATGCACTGGGTCAGCTGGCCAATTAGAGCAGACTGCGCTTGTCGGAAGGGGGGGCTTTGTTGAAAACGACGTTGTGACGAGTGGGGGCGGGGCCGGTGGAGTAATTGATAATGAGCGACACCTGCACCACTCACCGGTCTCGAGTCCCACGGAGGAGCTCCGGAAGGATAAAAGGAGGAGTGATGAGAGAGGACCAGGCCTGGATTTTATTTTTGTGTTTTGGTTCTGTTTGTGTGCGACTGTCGTCCGCGAGGGGCTGTCGCGCTATTTTGTTGGTTTATTTTATTAAAGTGTTTAAATGTTTGCCGGTTCCCGCCGCCTCCTTCCCAAACTACAAACGGTGTTACAGACGTGTTTGAGAGAGGCGGGGCATAGGACCTACAATAATGTACAGTATTTGAAAAATAATGTGTTTTTGAACATTAAAGCATGTCAACATATTCTGTTACACCAAATACACAAAATAATGATCTTTAAAATAGCATCATATGACCCTTTTAAGTAGTAATTAATAGTTTGCTCATTATAACGTATTAGCAATTAGGTTAGTGATATCTGTATTAATCTGAATTGGCTTTACTAGTCTTTAGTAAAGTTTCTTTGTGGACTACACCCTCCCCCTAAGCAATGGCAATTCCATCCTTTTGTCTTTCTTGGCGTGTAAATGTTTGTACTCCTGAAAATACCAATTCTTCAAATAAACACCCGTCTGGGTGTTTCTCAGGTCTCCAGACTTGAGTTGAAGAAATCTTGGGAGTCTAATCACCCCATTGATGTTCCTACAAACACGGTGGTCTTTCACATCTAATAACACATTTATTGCTAACTTGCAGTATCCTGGATTACCTTTCAAGTTGTTTTCTTGAGTCTTGTAATTGTTCAGAATGCTCTTTTATAGGTCCTTTCATGTATAGTATTAATAATAATTCAGAGCCTCACCCATTATTGGATGGTTTTAAAGCTAGTCTTGAGACTTATTTGATTTTTCTTTTCTTTTTACTTTCATAATATATTTGATAATTTACTTTCTTATTGTTAAGCACTTTTTTGGTCAACTTTTGTTGCGTTAAATGTGCTCTATAAATAAAAACATAATATTAATGCAATAATGTTCATTAAAAATTGTCATCTGAATGTCACAAATTTCATATCTTTTTTTTGGCAGTGTGTAAGTGTTAATCTAATTTCTGCTATAAAAAGTAATTAAAGTGTAATTATGCATAGGATATATTAAATAGGTTGGTAACTTTACCTGTGAACGTGATTGTTTCATGTTGAATGCACATAGGTGTAATATGGGTGCTATTCTTTAGAGATGTGTAATATAGTTAATTGGTGAATCTCTTGGAAACCACCAAGAATGTATTTGGCTCATTTTTGATCCCAGAATCCAATCTAAGTCTCTGTTAACTTCAGGTTTTATCCAGTCAGGGAAGGTCTGTTTTCAGAAAGCTTGAACTCCTCATGTCCAGATTACACAATACTGATTGTTTGGGCTATTCAGAATGGCTCATTGTGTATTAAACAGTCTTTGACTTAATGGTGAGAAGCTTCATTAATGAAAGCCACCAACAGATAGAAGGAAAGCGTGATCGGTGATCGCACTTTCTGTGTGAGAATAGAGGCTGACAACAATGAGCCTGAATAGTCCTTTTTGTTTGGTTTAGTTGAAGATTTCGAAGGAAGAGTCCAATCCTGTTTCCTTCACATGCACTAATGCTTGAGGGCTTTGAACAGGTGTTGGGGTGAGAGTTTGGCGTGTGATTGAACAATGACGTATCGTTTAACAGGCAGGTGAGTCTTTCCGCCCCACTGCTGAGATTCAGCTGGGAGTGTAAGAATGAAAACACTGCTATAAATAGTTCCCGTAAAAGTGGAAGGAATTCTCCTGACATGCGAGTGTGTTTGTGTGCAAAGTAGGACATTCACTCTGTCCTGGGTGAGGAGTGTATCTCATGAGGAGATCATATGACACACAATACACTGGTAAATCCGATTGGTGGGAGCGACAGACAACATTTGTCTTGACGACTGAGGCTGTAATTGGTTGTGATCTGAAAGGACAACAAGGAGAGTCTTCAAACCACAACAGCGGATAATATCTGTAGTGTGAATCCCAGACTGAATCTAGGCATTTTGAGGAGACATTCTGTGAAATGTTCTGACTTTCTGTGACTTTTCAAACTCAGAAGGTTGCTTGGTAAAACTAAGATGCAAACAGTCGTGGTTATTTAAATTTTGGCCTTTAAACTCAAACAGTGAATAATCGCCTGATCACCATGGACAGTTTATCACAGTAATGGATGAGTCACTGATTGTGTTATCTTCTCTTTGCGTCTCCCATTGTGACTCAAGGGGAACAGATGCCAGACCATTTGTCAGCAGATGGTCGGATTTGCTCCTAGCTTTGCTAGTCTTGATTTGGGCCTGGTTTACTAAGCTGGTTCATTTACACAGGCTTCTCCCTCCCCGTCATTACAGCTCAATTTGAGGATAAGAGCCATAGTCATACTTGTCATCTTCATATGATACAGCTGTCATGAGGGTTGCCTAAGGGTATAGTTCACTCAGAAATAAAGCTTTTACTCATTTACTTACCCTTATGTCGTTTCAAATCTGTATGACTGACTTACTGTACTAGTCACTGATGCCAGATATGATTAGCAAAATCAATGGCATGAATAATAATTTATATTTCAGTTCAAGCTCAATTGTGCACCAGTTTTCAGACTGCTTTAATTGTTAGTTTTGTCCTTTTTGGATCTGACAGCGCCCGTCTCCATCCATTGTTTAGACAAAAGCAGCACAAACATTGATAAACATCTTCTTTTGTGTGAAAGAAAGTCATACGGGTTTGGAACATTGTGAGGGCGAGTAAATGATGACAGAATTGTCATTTTAGGTGAACTAAATGAACTATGATTCTTTTAAGAGCTGTTGTTATTTTATGTATTGGTTTTTGTTTCTTTTAAATGCTGGTGAGGGTTTTTTTGGTTATTGCTGAGAAATGAAAGACAAAAAGCATTATTTCCTGCATTGCGACTGAGAAATTGAGGGACTTTCTTTAGCAGTCCGTCTTAGTCTAGAGCTTTTAGTTTGGGTTGTGGGATTTTTTTTTTTTTTTTTTACAACTCTTTCAAGTGGCTTATATACATTTACTGAGAAGTTAATGGTTGCTTTTGAGAATTTAAGCATCGGTTTAATTGAACCACGGCTTTACGCCTCTTCACAGTCAGGGTATCCGCTGTACTTTCTTATACAGTTTTTTTTTCCTCAGAGCTCAGTATTTCATAGTGTAGGGGGATTTTGGAGTGGGGTTTCACAGCACTGTAAGGCTGAAAACCATAAAGTATGTCGGTCTCTCTCCCCACACCCTCTTGTGGTTTCTGTCGTTCTCTGTTTCTCGCTCTCCCTTTTTCTTTTATTATCTTCGAACAACAGAGCAGGCTAGAGCTGACTTGCAGTTTCATGTGGCGTTTACATGATCCTGGTTTTCCTGGAAAATGAGCCAGTCAGTCCCGCCGGTCTCCATTTTAAAAACACCTCCCTTTTGTGTCTAGAGCCATTTTAAGTATTGAATTTGTTTTTAAAAACTTGTATTTGCAATAAACTTGAAGTCATTGTTGCCTTACTGAAATCCTCAGTAAGGTGTGTTTGAAATTTGTCGAAGGTGGTTACGCCATGAGTGCGCACCTGTGCATTATGAAGGTTTTTGCTTTCCCGGTATGTGAAATTTTTCAGTGAGTCAGGTTTGATTAAATCTGTTTTTGACAGCGAGCAGGAGAGCGAGACCGATAAAGACCCTCAGCCCCGGTCCAATTGAATTCTTGCGTCGTTTTACACAATGGTGCCAAACCTGCACTAACTTGCCTCTTACCTCTCCAACTCGCTTTAAGGTTAAGACTGAATTGATTGTAAGACAATATAGTGTGAATCACAGTTGAGTGCCATTCAGAATAGAATTCAGAATCTTTTATTTTTATTTTTAAAAAAGAATGTTTTGATGTCCTGCAACCATAGCAACAGTGAAAACAGTCTTGACTCTTGGAAAGAGTTTTGAGTGAGAGACAAAGAGGAAAAGCAGACAAAACATAAATCAGTTTGTGTTATCTACTTCCTCCTGTTATGCTAATAGGCTTAGTTCATTAATTGTTAAAACTCATTGGCAGTGATTGGCTCTGCTAACGTGATTAACAGCATTGGTGTGTCTTAATTAAATTAAGTGTGCTCTCAGAACAAAAGTAACCTGTAGGGCTGGACAATAATTCAATATTAATATATCGTGATATCAATTTTGGCCATATCGTCCAGCCCTAGTAACCTGCATAACTTTTAAAGTGATATAAGATGTTTTACACCAGGTCTTAAACTCCAGTTTTGATTTGATGAGGTCTTAAAATCATTCTTGTGTCACTCAATAGTGACTGTTCCTTCGATTTCTGATGTTTGCATTGGATTACATTATGAAAGCGTGATTTTGCACATTTTTCTTTGGTGATTTGTCTTGGAACAAATGGTGCCAAGTGTAAATTTCTCATGTAAATTATTTTTCTCATGTAAATTATTTCTCTTTGTAGGTACGAGAAACCGAAACATGGGTACCTCTGAAAAACAAGTCGTCCAATGAGGATCTGGAGTCTTCTGGCGACTCTCCGAATGAAGACTTTGAGTTTGCTGATTTAAACCCAACTGACGATGAGGATGGCCTTGATGATGATGAAGATGATGATGATTATGATGGCTCAGGCTCTGGGTTTTTAGATGAGCCCACAGAAAGCGAGGTAGATATGATTTTTTTTCTTGATGACAAACAGAGTAACAACTATTGAGATACTACAGAAATGCCTGTTAGGAAACGAAACAATGCATCTTAATGAAGTTTTTGCCTACAACAAGTGAATCATTTTAAAGTGAAATGCTCTTTAAAGAATTTGTTTAAATTGGAATATTATATTTTATTATTACAGCAATTAAACAGACAGCACATCTTTCTATTGCGTTTTATCCACTGGTTTAATACAACAACAGATATTCAATGCAGCCAGTGTCATCTGATTTGTGACTCTTATGAGCAAATTGTTTTTAATGAATGTCAAAGTACTCTCAATTGAGTCACAGACTGACTCGTTGGTCTAAAATGACTAATTCACGGTTCATATCGGACTTGAATTGCCATTTTTCTTATGCATGCTTATAACTCATGAAACCATCAGTTGAATTACTCGCTGGTTGTTCATTTTTGTTGTACATGCAACCGATTTAACTTCTGTATTGACTTTCTTGTCACCATTTTTTCCTTTCTCAGACTGGTATCTTCAACAATAACCGGATCCCTGAATCTGAGGGTCCATTTGCACCGGAGCCAACTGCCAATAACGATATTCTGGTTAAACACAATGAGGTTGGCCGGCGTGGAGAACCAAAGCAAGACGATGACCAGCCCAGCAATGTGCTCATGACGCATGCTGGAGAAGACCACTTTTTCAACAATACAGAGGTGCTTGCAGGTGAGGAGACGGTTTGATTTGTTTGCAATAGTGATAGTTTGATATGCAAATTAAATGCAATTAATAAATATTGTCGGGCAAAATTTGAATATTTAAATATAGTAAAACTTTTAGTACATCAGCGGTTACGGTTTTGCTCTAAAATAAATTCCACTGCTTTGATGTTTTATCATCTAATGCAGTATTTTCCAGTGTTATTTTAGTATTTTTAGACTTTTTTTTTTTTTTCCTAAGAATTCTGAGTTTATATCTCACAATTCTGACTATATAACTCATGATTCTGACTTTATTTCTCACAATTCTAATTGTCACACAGCTCTAAAAATTTATTTTAGATGCACAGTTTCTCAGAGTTGCGAGATGTAAACTCAGAATTGTGTGGGGAAAAAAGTCTGAATTGTGAGATAAAGAGATTTTTTTTATTACCCCATGATGAAAGCGGCTTTTCATAGTTAAGTGCATGTCATTTTTATTCGTTTTTATTTTATATTTCTACATAGCTTTCATTTATTTTTATTTTTTTTTAGTACTTTAACTAATTTCAGTTAGCTGCCAAGGCAGCATTTCTAATTTTCAATTTTATCACCAATTATTTGTAATTTATTTCAATTACTGAAAATACAATAAGTATATTTTGAAAATCCACGCAGGCTGCTGGTGTCCATTAAGGCCGTGTCTGAAGGTTATGCCTCCCTCACATTTTCTATTTCTGTTTTCTAGCTGTTATTGCGGGCGGAGCAGTTGGTCTGGTCTTCGCCATCCTCCTCATCGTCCTGCTGGTTCACTTCGTTCTCCGCATCAAGAAGAAAGACGAAGGAAGTTACGACCTGGGCAAGACGCCCATCTACAAGAAAGCTCCTACCACAGAAATCTACGCATGAGCATCCCCACCCTCACATACCTTCTCTCTCTCTTTTGAACTATAAGCTCACACAGTGCCTCGGCCCGACGGGCCGCCGCCAACCTCTCACGTACCACAAAAACCACAGAAGGACCTCACACGAATAATTCACTCTGACTGGACATTTGCATTGAAATCTTAAAGTGACTCGGAGGGGATAGCATCAAAAGATGTTCTTGTCTTTTTGTTCTCACACTTATTGCCTTTTCACCTTGTGGCCCATTGTGTCCATAATTTTTTTTCTAAATAAAACACTACAGGGTGCAGTGGAGCCATTCACAAGTTAAAGGCTTTGGATTGACCATTGAACCAGCCGTTAAGAAAAACAGTCAATGTCACGATCGGTGCTACAGAAGGGATGGTTACTGTAGCCTTTTACGTTATCAGATGTCTTTTGTTTTTAAATCTGTGTGCTGTAAAACGTTTTATTTTCTTAGTAAAACATTCGAGGTGGAACCAAATTGAGGGCATGCAGTATACGTTCGAAACTAAATTCTGTGAGAGCAAAACCTGAAAATCGGTGTGCTATACTAATGTATACTCATTTCAACCATGGTGTTATGGTACATTCCTTATATCTGTATGTCATTGTTGTGGTGGTTTTGTGCGACGAGAGACTCGATCCACTACAGTGCTGCTTGACTGTCAGCTAAGCTACTTTAACAGGTACAGATGTTGTTGATTGAGAATCAGTTCACTGCAAACAGACTTTGTACATCCGGGGATCTGTATATAGCCATCTGAATAAAATGTACAACTTTGGTACTTAGCCATTTCTTGACAGCCTTTTATTTACCAAATATTTAAATGCCAAAATTTTTTTTATTGTTCTTATCTCATCCCGGTATTCGCTTTTGGTGTAAAACCTGTTCGTGAAATGCAGATGTTTTGCATTGAATCTTTCAGAAACATTTATGGAAATGTTATGTTTGAAAACAATGACCAATGCTAGTACTAACTTTTTTTCAGTGTTTTTGTAGATGTTCTTAATTCCTTTTTTTTTTTTTTTTTTTTTTTTTTTTTTTTTTTTTTTAATATATTGTCAATATATTTTTAACCCCGAATGAAACGTATAGCAACTCGAGGTCCTCATACAGCGAAAATGATTCTTTATTTAAAGGCTCTTGGTGAAGCTCGTGTTGCAGAAGAACCTGTATGTTTGAGTGTGTACTAAAGGGCCTTACGCAGGGCTTTGGTTTGGTTTGCATTTTGCTTGTACATGAACTTGTTTGTGATAGATGAACTTTGAATAACGGGACAGTCTTTAATATGTAATCGAATTGCTTCAGTGTTAACCTGGGAATTTCCACCTCTAGAGAAATGACTAAGCAGCTGTGTGTGTGTGTGTTTATCCAGCATGCTGATGCCTGTCTGCTTTGCTACCAAAACATATGAGCATACCAAGAGAATAAAGACTCTTAGTTTTCTTTTAGGATTGAAGGATAAAAATAGAAAATGAGAAACATTGACAGGATTCTTTAACCTAGGCCCAGGCTTAATCATGTGGCAAAAACAAATACAGTGGCTCCAAAAAGTATTCAACCACACTTCTTTTCATATGTGTGTTTGCACTTTTTTATTTTTTATTTTTTATTTTTTATTTTTATTTTTATTTTTTTTAAAGAGATAGTTTACATAAAAATGAAATTCATACAGTTTTGAAACAAGTTGGTGGCAAGTAAATGACAGAATTGTCCTTTCATTTTAAAATAAATGCCATTTGGTTTGATATTTTGTTACGCAATGATATTCATATATTTTTAAGCTTGGCGTAGAGTTAATACTTTTTAAAAAAAAAATTTATAACCGTTTAAGTGATCATCTGTATGATAATGCAACATTAAAATGGTTAATGACAGGGTGTGTTGAACGCATGCCCTCTCTGACCTCACACTTTCAGTTTATAGACCTGAATGAGTCCAAGAGCCATGAGAAACGAGGTAAATTCAGCACAAACAGCTGGTTAAGACATTCAGGAAAACCAACTAAAACTTGTTTAGTAACACAGATATGATTAAATGTCCTGCATGGGGAAATTCCCTTGTGTTTGATCATATCTGGCAACGTTGTGCTGTAAAAATATCTTAATGCAGATAGAAAATTTGACTGTTTCCATGATGAGTTTATCTTTTATCTGCTGGGGAAAAAACATCATGCCTCCGGTTACAGGTTGAATGGACTACACAAGGAAGTATATTGTGCTTTTTTTTTTTTTTTTCTTCTCATTGTACATGGAACGGTTTCATCATTAACACACACGCATTTCCTGCTGCGCATTTGAATGTGTATCAGAAAAACATGTTCAAACGGTCACGTATTACACCATCCTATTGGAAGATGAATGGCGCCTTTTCACTTTTAACTACTGACCGGGTTTGTTTACACAAGAGGTGGAGCAAAAGACTGGAGAAAACGACCGTTTGTCATATAAACGCTCTTTATAATTTGCTAAGTGTTTTTCTCATTGCTACTAGTTCAGCTCATTTTAAAGTAACTCCTACATTTAGATCAAACATAAGGAAGACCAGAACTAGTTGTCACTAAAATCTCAGTAGCCTAACTATAAGATTATTATCTTATATTTATATTTGTCACAATTACACAAATAAGAGTCTGTAACTACATAATGACAGTAGCTTTTAACAGATTAATTATTAGGACAAGGGTATTCTTAAATTAATGTCAGGTTGGGACAATTTGTCACATGGGGAATAAAAATTTTTACCAAAATATAACATAAAATGCTTAGGAATTACAACCACTTTTATACACAGTCCCCCCATTTTCAGGAGCACAAATTTTAATTGGACAAATAAATATAATCATAAATAAAATGTTCATTTTTAATATGTTGTTGAGAATCCTTTGCAGGCAATGACTGACTTAAAGGGGTCATATGATGCGATTTCAATTTTTCCTTTCTCTTTGGAGTGTTACAAGCTCTTGGTGCATAAAGAAGATCTGTAAAGTTGCAAAGACTAAAGTCTCAAATCCAAAGAGATATTCTTTATAAAAGTTAAGAGTCAACCACGCCTACCTAAAATGGCTCGTTCTAACACGCCCCCACATGTCTACGTCACGATGTGGGAAGATTTGCATAACGCCGCGCAAATGTCCACGCAAAAAAAGAAAGAAGGTGTAACTTTTTTTCTCGCTGTAGTATTGTTGCCGCCGCTGCCATGTCGTGAAG